CCGGACACCAGTCCCGAGGACGTGTCGGAACGAGCCGACCTCTACTCCCTCGCCGTTCTGCTGTGGGAGCTCTGGCAAGGCCAGCGGCCGTTCCGCATCGACGGACAAGCCGACTCGTGGACGGACGCCCTCGCTCAACAGATCGTCTCGCGCGAGGTTGGACTCACCGAGCCGATCCGCATCGGCCACAGCAGCGAGCGCGTTCTCGAGCAGACATTGCGTGAAACGCTGAGCCCGTCGCCCGAAGCGCGGCCCGCGTCGGGCGCCGAGCTAGCCGGGCGGTTGCAGCTCGCGTTGCACCCGGAGGCGGCGGCGGTGTTCGATCCACCACCCAACAACTGGCGGCGCTACGCGTTGGCGGCGTGGCCGCTGGCCGTGGTCTTAGCCGCGGTGCTCTTGCCCAACATCGCAGCGGGGCTCTTCAACTACTTCTATAACGAGCGCGAGATCATCCAGAAGCATCCGGAGATGAAGGACTACTTCGTCGCCCTCTCGACGGTGGTGAACTCGATCGCCTTCCCGCTCGGCGGCGTCTTGGCGATGTACTACGGCCTGCCGATCGTACGATCAATCGAGCGTGCGAAGCGTGGCGAGGACGTAACGACCGCAGAGATCGACAGCCTGTTTCATCTCTGCCACCGCGGCGCGCTGCTCGGCGGCACGTTGTGGGGGATCGCGAGCTTCGTGTTCCCGATCGCTTTGACTCTGCGGTTTGGTGACGAGTTTCCGCCACAAGAAGCAGGTCACTTCTTCCTCTCGCTACTCGTATGCGGCGGCGTGGCGGCGGTGTACCCCTACTTCTTGCTCGTGACGCTCGCGACTTCGGTCTATTACCCGCGGTTGGTGCGTGGCACGATGTCGGACCCCAAGTTCGACAAACGCGGCGTTCACCTCAGCGACCACGGCGTCTACTACCTGCTCGCCGCGGCGTCGATCCCGCTGATGGCGATCGTGCTCCTCTTGTCTCGGACCGAGGAGATGGACAAGTTCCGCGATATGATCCTCTGTGGTGTGTTTGCGACGCTGTTCGGGTTACTGGCCGCGTTCTCGGCGTATCGGTACGTGCTGCGGGTCTGGACTCAGATCACGCCCGTGTTGTCACGGCGGAAGTCCAATGCGGCGCCAGGCCTCGAGTAGGGTCCGCTGTGCGGACCGTGCGGTTGAGTTAGTCTCGGTTGTAGCTCGTAACGACGGTCCGCACAGCGGACCCTACGAAGAAGACCGCCGGTCCCGTGGGACCGGCGGTCTTTGTACGTTTCAATTCAGTGCTGACGATTACATCCGCACGGCAGCGGCTTCGGTCTCGACTTGGTCGATGCCAAACTCTTCCAGGGCCGAGTCGATTTGCGACTTGGGCGCCGCCAGTTCTTCGGTCACCGGTTCCGGCGCCAGGGCCTCGGCAGCCTCTTGCAGCGGGGCCACCTCGATCACTTGACGGGCGATCTCGGCGCGGTCGAGCAATCGAAGGTTGTTTGACTCGTCGATCTCGGCGAACGAATCGAAGGCGTCCACGGCGACCATCAGCTTTTGGAAGCCGATCGGCGCGCCGCCGTTGGAGCCCATCGCCAGCGCCTCAACAGGGAGCGTGACCTCGATCTCAACGGTCGCGCCGCCGGGGATCTCTTCGATGCACGCCGTCGCGGTGGGGTCGCAAGGCTTGATCGGGCCGAGCAGCGCCACCAGCGACACGTGCACTTTGCACACCGAGCGGCCACTGTTGTTGGTGACGGCGACGATGAAGGTCGGGGCGCAGGCCGGGTCGCTGATGGCGGACTCGACGACCGTCGTGATCGCTAGGTCGCCGATCTCGTTCGCGGGGAGCTCGAACGATCCGTAGGGCGAAGGGACAATCGAACAACTGGGCGAGGCTAGGCAACCGTGGAACGAGCCGTATCGCATCATCAGGTCGATCACATGGCCACAGCCGGGGGCGCCGGTGAAGGCGGTCTCGACCGGCTGACCTAGTGGCAGGTTGGCGAGGCTAGGCGCTGCGACGGCCAGCGTCGCGATCGCCGCAAGGCGGATTTTTAGTTTGGCGTTCATCGCAACGAATCCTTTTCTATTGAGAGGTCGGTTTTGCTTACGAAGAAGGCCCGGCGACCACGTCGCCGTGAGTCGCCGGGCCTGTTGAGGGACACCCGCTTATCGAAACCCCCGCGGGCTCAGTAGCAGCCCCAATAGCTGGTGACGACCGGCAGGCAGGTCGTGTAGCAGCTCACCACCGGGCGGTAGCAGTACAGCGGGCGGTAGCAGTAGTTGTAGCTGTAGTTCGAGTAGCAGCCGTAGTTGAAGTGGTTGTAGCCACCCCAGCAGTTCCAACCACGGTGGCTGTAACCGCCAAAGCGACGGAAGCATGCCTCAACCGCGTCGGACTCTTCGCCAGCCTCTTCGGCCATCTGATCCACGTCGAGCGAGTTGAGGTCCATCTCTTCGAGTTCCACGCCGGCGTCGCTGATCGAGGCCAGGTCGGTCGATTGCAGCTCGCTCATCAGGTCGTCGGCGAAGGCCGAGCCCGAAACAGCCAAGACCGCAACGACAGCGAAGACAACGTTCTTGAGCAACATGATCGAATCTCCAGGCGGCAGGTTTTGGTGAAGGGCCGTGGCGAACTCTGCCGTCGTCTCGCCGCAGCCGTGTTAGTCGCGTCTCTGACGGACCAAGCGACGACCTGCGGCGGGTGTTACCGATCAAACTCGAAAATTGAAAAGTCTCGCGCAGAGACGCGGAGAGGTGGTGCGTGGAATGACTCACGCAAAGGCGCTAAGACGCAAAGAAAGAAGAAAGGGAAGAGAAAGAAGATTAAACGATCGGTCCTTT